TTTCTTTACCCAAACTAGGTAACTAATGATGTTACCTAGTTTGGGTAATGGGAGATTGGTAAGAAAACAACCAAGTTCAGAGAGGCCCAAAGACCCCTCAGCTAATGTTTATTATGTTACCTCAGGGACCATTTGGGGAAAGATCTGACTGGATTAATACTTGGATGAGAGACAACCAGGAGATCCAAAAGCTGCAGAATAGATAGATGATAAAACATGTTCAGATGCTTCAGTGCCCAGAATAATGCATATCCTGTTTCTCTTCATGATGAACGGAGGTAGGTTAAATAAACTTATGGTTATGCTTCTTTCTCCTTCAAAAGACCGAAGTGAAATTCTGAAGATCACAAAATAATAACTCAAATAATAACTCAGGACCTCAAAATAAGGATTGGAATGAGGGGTCCTTGGTGCTCTCTGAGACTGGTGGTTTTCTTGCAGACGTTTCCTGACCAACTAGGCAACATCATCAATGCTAGAAGGGAGTGGGGTTTGGGAGGAGGAAAAGGAGGAGGAAGAGGAGGAGGAGGAAGAGGAGGAGGAGGATTGTGGGGTCCTTGGTGCTCTCTGAGCTTGGTTGTTTTTTGCAGACATTTCATGACCCAACTAGGGAACATCATCAGTGGTAGAAGGGAATGGGGTTTATGGAGAGAGGAGGAGGAGGAGGAAGATTGTGCTCTCTAAGCTTGCTTGTTTTCTTGCAGATGTTTCATTACTGTAACTAGGTAACATCATTAGTGCTAGAAGGGAGTGGGGTTTGCACTGATGATGTTACCTAGTTGGGTCATGAAACATCTGCAACAAAACAACCAAGCTCAGAGAGCACCAAGGACCTTTCAAAGCAAGCAAGCAAGCAAGCAAGCAAGCAAGCAAGCAAGCAAGCCAGCCAGCCAGCCAGCCAGCCAGCCAGCAAGCAAGCAAGCAAGCAAGCAAGCAAGCAAGCAAGCATATGGGTGTCTTTATCCAATGAACTTTCAAAGTAAACTCACCTTAAGGTAACATTTCCAACTCAAAAGCATGTCATATTGTGTTTATTTGGCTGGGCATACAGATCGGTCCAATTGGGAATGATTATGAGCTCTGTAAATATAATTTTTTTAAAAAATACAATCATAAAAGAAATCTGTCATGTACATACTGATAGAGCTGAGGAACATTTATCAATATAACTTTAATTCCAGAATTTCTATCACCCGAGAGCATGCAGTCTGATTTAATAACCACATTTATTGACTTTCCTAAAAAGCTAGGAAGTGAAGGGACATTTATTTATTTGCAAGTGGTTGGAAATGCTACCTCCTGTCACTTCACCTTTCCCAGTTTTCTTTCCACAAGCTCTTGATATCATCTTAGTAGTATTTTAGGAATCATAATAATAAAGTTGGAAGGGACCTTGGAGGTCATCAAGTCCAACCCCCTGCTCAGGCAGGAAACCCTATACCATTTTGGACAAATGGCTGTCCAGTCTCTTCTTAAAAACTTCCAGAGTTGGAGCATTCACTGTTTCTGGAGGCAGGTAGTTCCACTGGTTAATTGTTCTGTCAGGAAATTTGTCCTTAGTTCTAGGTTGCTTCTCTCCTTGATTAGTTTCCATCCGTTGCTTCTTGTCCTGCCTTCAGGCAGGAAAGCAGCCAAGGACTTTGGTTTCCTTTCCAAACTCATTTTGTTTGTGATTCCCCCCCCCCAAAAAAACAGCCTTATTTTCTTTAAGAGGATGAAGACACTGAAAAGATGATTATTCTGATCAGGAAACCTTGATCCCCCCCCCCAACCTTAGCACCTTAGCAATCTTTAAGATGTATGGACCAACTCCCAGAATTCCACAGCCAAAATGGCCAGGAGTTGAAGTCCATGCATCTTAAGGTCAGAAAACCCTGCTCTAGATTAATCGGTAGCATTTGATCCTAGTGTCTCTTAGTTGATCTGGTTCAGTGGAAGAGGAGAATTAAGGACACCAATACATTTGAGGGCACATGGGCCATATCATTAACTATATCTTTTGTCTTAAAAACAAGGCATGTACATGACTTTTTTAAAAGTGACCAACCGTCCTTCTTTAGTTCTGTCCTCCCTCAAAAAGTGTCCTCCTTCATGTCCTCCTTTTCGATATTTGAAGACTAATCTGCAGGGCTTTTTTCCCCCTCATAGAACGCTCAGAATGGCGTTCCGGCACCTTTTTTGGATTTTTTTTTTCAACTTTTGCATGAGCTGTGCTACTCCCACTATTGGCTTTTGAAAGCCAATAGGAATTGCTGCTGAGCGCGCCAAAACACCGGGCTGGCAAACTTTGCCCATGCAAGTTGTCTGTATTATTGTTGCAATGAATAAAATGTTTCTTTTATTTATGATATTTTTTTTCTTCATTTGTGTCCTCCTTTTCATTGTAAAAAAGTTGGTCACCTTACTTTTTTGCATTTCAGTGACTTTTCAAGGCAGTGACATGATCAAAATCAAAACCTCCTTCATTATTATATTTTACAGGTACTTTGATCTTCCTCTAAGAAACCCCAAGTAGAAAATATGATACTTTTGCCAGCATTTTAGTTTCTCAACAGCCCTACAAAGTAGCTAGACTGACCGATGCAAATTTCAATTTAGTATAGTATGCAATATTTCTTTGATAATCTGAATGATCAAATGAATTTGAAGTACTGTCTGTCTGTCTATCTACCTATCTATTATTTAACTATCTATGTCAATCATCTTTCTTCACCATCATCCTCTCTCTCTCTCTCATCTATCTATCTATCTATCTATCTATCTATCTATCTATCTATCTATCTATCTATCTATCTATCTATCTATCTATCTATCTATCTATCTATCTATCTATCTATCTATCTATCTATCTACCTACCTACCTACCTACCTACCTACCTACCTACCTACCTACCTACCTACCTACCTACCTACCTATATATCTCTATTATTTCTCTCTTATGGCAACTTTCAATCCCTTGCCTACCACTCTGATATATTCCTTCACAAAAACCCTTGTAATGTGTAATGCAGAGGTTCTTGAAAGGTTAAACTTCTCTGAGTGGAACACAAGGGTCCTTAAAGATTGAAAATATCTGCACATATTTTTGTCCCCTGAAAATGTGTAAGAAATGTGTGAGAATCAGCTAGTAATTTTTTTTGCAGAGATAAGATTGTGTTTCTCAGAGAAAAACAAGCGTTCTTCAAATCAGTGTTGAATACTCCAATTTTTTTACATAAAATTTTTATGGGATTTCCAAATTCAGAAACAGTGACATCTTAAACCCAAAATGCTGGTCATCAGAGTAGTAGAAAAAATAAATAAAAAGAGAGCAGATGAGGCAATACCAAACAACAATAGACTAACTCAAATGGAAGTGAAAAAAAAAGATAATATATTGGAACTCAATAATCAAAATGCAGCGATTATGGAATATACTGTCTAAATGTTTCCTACATATTTACTGGGGTATTATGAGCTGTCACAATGGAACTACCAAAGCAAATGTCAAAATTACAATAATTTCATCTCATACTATTTAGTTATAAAAATCAGCCTTGCTTGGACGTACATTTATATTTCGACAGTTCTTAGGCTTTTGGAAAAAGAACAGCTTGAATTGAACTTAACTTACCAGCTGCTGCCAAGTATTCTTCAGAAGAGAAATAATAATAATATTCCATATTCAGAAGCATAGCTATCTCCTGCAGCTACCTTCCAGGGAATAATTTAGATGTAGGGACTTCTGCCTGAGCAGGGGGTGGACTAGAAGACCTCTAAGGTCTCTTCCATCTCTGTTATTATAATATAATATAATATAATATAATATAATATAATATAATATAATATAATATAATATAATATAATATAATATAATATAATATAATATAATATAATATAATATAATATAATATAATATAATATAATATAATATAATATAATATAATAATAAAGTTGGAAGGGACCTTGGAGGTCATCGAGTCCAACCCCCTGCTCAGGCAGGAAACCCTATACCAATTGGACAAATGGCTGTCCAGTCTCTTTTTAAAAACTTCCAGGGTTGGAGCATTCACCGCTTCTGGAGGCAGGTTGTTCCACTGGTTAATTGTTCTAACTGTCAGGAAGTTTCTCCTTAGTTCCAGGTTGCTTCTTTCCTTGATTAGTTTCCATCTGTTGCTTCTCGTCCTGCCTTCAGGTGCTTTGGAGAATAGCTTGATTCCCTCTTCTTTGTGGCAGCCCCGTAGATATTGGAACACTGCTATCATTTCGTCCCCTTCCTCCTCCTCCTCCTCCTCCTCCTCCTCCTCCTCCTCCTCCTCCTCCTCCTCCTCCTCCTCCTCCTCCTCCTCCTCTTTTTAAAGAAGAGATTGGACAACCAATTCTGTTAATCTGAATGCAAGTGCAAAATGTAGTTGTATTCTGACTGTTCTTTCAACTGACTGTGGCTTTGTGGCTTAGCGTATATTTAGATTGGCCAAATGAATTCAGTCAGTGCCTATTTTAATTCCTCTTTCAGTTCCCCACTTTGTCATCCAGACAGGCAGCCTCAACAGTGAAGTTCAGGTGCTACAAGAATGGATCACGTTGCAGATCTGTGGCTGAAAAATGAAGGATAAGCTGCCACACTGCATTCACAAGGACAAGGCTAACTTGGGACATGGCGAAAGGAATCACCTTACCCATACAAGCATCCTTTATTATAATTCTTGATCCACCGACCAGCTTTTTGGTGAAATAGCCACCACTGTGGGAATTCCAGCTGGTCCACCATAATGCACGCCTCGTCAAAGTCTGACAGATAGCAGTGTTCCAATATCTAATGGGCTGCCACAAAGAAGAGGGAGTCAACCTGTTCTCCAGAGCACCTGAAGGCAGGACAGGAAGCAAAGGATGGAAACTAATCAAGGAGAGAAGCAATCTAGAACTAAGGAGAAATTTCCTGAACAGTGAGAACAATTAATCAGTGGAACGGCTTGCTTCCAGAAGTTGTGGGTGTTCCATCCCTGGAGGTTTTTTAAGAAGAGATTGGACAGCCATTTGTCTGGAATGGTATAGGGTTTCCTACCTGAGCAGGGGGTCAGACTAGAAGATCTCCAAAGTCCATTCCAACTCTGTTATTCTGTTACTCGGATGCAAGAAGATTGGATGTGGATCCAGATCAATCCATTCTGGTTCTTCAATAATTGGCGCTATTATTTCTTTTTTCCTTTACCTAATTTGAGCCAGTTTTGTGGTTTCAGGAGAGCTCATACAAAATGTGGTTTTTAGCAGAAGGACTTGTCGGGTGCAGCGCCAACTATGATTCAGGAACCCTTGGAGTTTTTGATAGAGGTTCCGCCACTGTGGGTTACTATATGCCCTGTGATACAGTCTTTGACAAAATCTAGAGCATCCAAAATTATGTTTCCATACACATTGTGAAAAGCCATTTCCTTGGGCTCTGGGATGTAGTAGCAAATGTAGAAATGTTTTGTCATTTTCAGATGGGTTTGTTCAAAAGAAAATGAAACGAAGATTTCTTTTAGTGTCTTCCTCTGGAACGCTTGTAACCTATGAAGGACTAGCAACTTAAGTCATTAGTAACAGATGGCTGTTCTTTAGAAGATTCGTGCTTAATCTCTAGACTGTGCTCCCAATGAATTGCCTTCTTAGCCATGACCACAAAGAAGTTGCTCCGTTTTTTTTCTCCTTTACTAATATGGGAAGAAGTATGTGCGAAATTTTAAAGTAGCAATAGGAGATCCAGATTATTAGTTCTGAAACCACCATTTCCTCTTCAGAAAACTGAAGTGTTTTTCTGTTTGAATTCAACAATTGGTGACTTTATGGATGTATAGGTGAACTTCACAAACGTTGGTGACTGAGGTGGGTAATAAATTTAAATAAATAACTAAAATTTCCTGGGAAACAACATAGTTTGTTACTGCTCTCTTTTCCATTTTTAATTCCATTTTCTGGTCTAGCCTACAGCTCTGTTATTTCCTGCTTTAATGTACCTGTTTCTGTTTAGGGTAGATAAAGTTAACCAGGTGCTACATTTGTTGAGGCAGTAACTATTTTAGTCTTACTAATTCAGTAGTTTTCCTTCCAAGGTTTGTATTTAGGACTGCAATCCTGACTTCTAATCCAGGAATTGCTCTATATTAATCAAGCCTGACAAATTTCTTGAAGACAGTTTCCATATCTTCAGAGACAGGTTTAAACACTTTATAGGAGTGTAAAAGTGGAAACGGATATAAATTAAATGCAGCATTGAAAAATTAATCTGTTTGATATACTAGAAAAAAATCATATTAAAAAGTAGTAAATTTATGGCATTCAACTTGTGATGCTTATCAATTTAGGCAATGTAGGTTATTTTTTAAGCTCCATTATAGAAACGACCAGTGGTGGCTTGATGTAATGGTATGTGAGAATGACCTTAAAAGACAGGAGAAGAAGGTGTAGATTAGACAACAGTTATCAACAATCTCCAAAGAACCTGAAGGCAGGACAAGAAGCAAGGGATTGAAATTAATCAAGGAGAGAAGCAAACTAGAACTAAGGAGAAATTTCCTGACAGTGTGAACAATTAATCAGTGGAACAACTTGCCACCAGAAGTTGTGAATGCTCCTACACTCCAACCTCCCTTCCAACTATTCTATTCTATTCTATTCTATTCTATTCTATTCTATTCTATTCTATTCTATTCTATTCTATTCTATTCTATTCTATTCTATTCTATTCTATTCTACTGCATTCCATTCCATTTCATTCCATTCCATTCCATTCTACTCTACTCTACTCCACTCCACTCCTCCACTCCACTCCACTCCACTCCACTCCACTCCACTCCACTCCACTCCATTCCATTCCATTCCATTCCATTCCATTCCATTCCATTCCATTCCATTCCATTCTATTCTATTCTATTCTATTCTATTCTATTCTATTCTATTCTATTCTATTCTATTCCATTCCATTCCATTCCATTCCATTCCATTCCATTCCATTCCATTCCATTCTATTCTATTCTATTCTATTCTATATACTCTACTCTACTCTACTCTACTCTACTCCACTCCACTCCACTCCACTCCGTTCCGATCCGTTCCGTTCCGTTCCGTTCCATTCCATTCTACTCCACTCCACTCCACTCCACTCCACTCCACTCCACTCCACTCCATTCCATTCCATTCTATTCTATTCTATTCTATTCTATTCTATTCTATTCTATTCTATTCTATTCTATTCTATTCTATTCTATTCTATTCGCAAAGAGGCATGAAGCCACAATTAGCATTAAAACTCACCATCGTAGCAGAAAACATTACATTCTTAGTGCAGCATATTGAAACATCAGTACAGAAAGCAAGAGACCGTGAGCTCAAGTCCATGAAAGCCAGATGGGTAACATTGGGCCAGTCATTCTGTCTCAGCCGAACCCACCTCACAGGGTTGTTACTCTTGCTGTGGGGGAAATAGGAGGAGTAAGGTGTTTTATATGTGTTTGTCACCTTGAGTTACTCGTAAACATAATAAAGACAGGATATAAACAAATAAAATAAAACAATAAACATGTATTGGAGATTATAAAAGGTTGGTGAGTAATGGAAGGAAGCTAGTATCCTTATCTTTTCACCCAGGTATAAAGCCAACAACAATTTGGGATTATCAGAAACAGGATGTCGATGGAGATTCTCAGTCATCCAGGTCATGGTTGTCCCAAAGGAGCTTTTTTTTTTTTTTTTCCAAAGTACAACTGGACCTTGTTTTTTTTCTTGAAGACATTTTGCTTCTCTTCCAAAAAGCTTCTTCAGTTCTACAACCATGATCTGGATGACTGAGAATCTCCATAGACATTGAATTAGTAAGACTGAAATAGAATATTGCTTCAACAGATGTAGCGCCTGTCAAACCAAGGTCCAGTTGCCTTTTGAAAAAACAACAACACTATCTTTGGGATGATCAGAAACAAGACCTAAATCGTGCTTTTGAACTTCAAAATCCAAAGAAGTTTGCTTCACATGAAGGCTTCAGCATTGTGGGTTAGACACAGCAAAAGCAACAATCTTGGGAATGTGATTCCTTAGATTTCTATTGGTTTTTGTATAGGATTGTTTCACCGTGACGCCCCAGTTACACAGTAAGAGATGCCTTGACAAAAACTTACCCTCTTAAGATACTGTAGTAATTTTGGGCTGAACGTCTGGATGTTCAGGATGTGCACTCTTAGTGTTATGCCAAGAGCAGTAGCAAATACTTAACTCTGAACCTTGCATTTTTCGTTACAAGCATCCTCAGAAGCTGGGATGTGGGATACCAACCACAATTTTCATTCAAAATTTTCAAAATGTAATCCAAAAATTCAGTGGTATTTATAGAATAGAATAACAGAATTGAAAGGGACTTTGGAGGTCTTCTAGTCCAACCCCCTGCTCAGGCAGGAATGGCGAACCTTTTAGAGACCGAGTGCCCAAACTGCAACTCAAAACCCACTTATTTATTGCCGGGTGCCAGGTGGGCGTGGCCCACTGGGTGGGCGTGGCTGTGTTCATAGCAGACTGGGTGGGTGTGGCCAAGGTGGGCGTGATCACCTCAATGTTGCTCGTGGGGAGGGACGCCTGTGGGGGCCAGGCAGGGTTGGGGGAGATCCAGGGGGTCTCTGCCAGGTGGGGCGGTGGGCAGGAGGCTCGTCCTGGTGGGTGAGGCGAGGCAAGGCGAGGCAGGGTGGGGGTGTCATTGTCACAGGGCAAGTTGAGGCAGGGGCCAGGGCAGCTGCTACCTGACACCATCGGCCCCTGCACACAGAGGCCAGCGAGCGCATGGGTGCTGGGATGCATCCGGCTAGGTGGGACTTTAGCGAGTTAGTGGGTGGCTGATTGAAGAGGGATGGTTGACATCTCCGGGACATGGCGCACGTGCCCACAGAGAGGGCTCTGAGTGCCGCCTCTGGCACGCGTGCCATAGGTTCGCCATCACTGCCCTATACCATTTCAAACAAATGGTTGTCTAATTTCTTCTTAAAAACTTCCAGTGTTGGAGCATTTACAACTTCTGGAGGCAAGTTGTTCCACTGATTAATTGTTCTCACTGTCAGGAAATTTCTCCTTAGTTCTAGGTTGCTTCTCTCCTTGATTAATTTCCATCCTTTGCTTCTTGTCCTGCCTTCAGGTGCTTTGGAGACTAGCTTGACTTCCTTTTCTTTGTTATAACCCCTGAGATACTGGAAAACTGCTATCATGTCACTCCTAGTCCTTTTCATTAAACTAGACATACCCAGTTCCTGCAACCGTTCTTTGTATATTTTGGCCTCCATTCTCCTCATCATCTTTGTTGCTCTTCTCTGTACTCTTTCTGGAGTCTCAATATTTTGTTTACATCGTGGTGACCAAAACTGGACACAGTATTCTAAGTGTGGCCTTACCAAGCCATTATAAAGTGGTAGTAACACTTCACACTTGATGTTCAATAACACTTCACTTTTTTTCTGCAGGCCTTCACTATGCTGTAGAACTCAGCAATTCACCTTGGTTCATCTTGTATCTTCAAAAAGAACATACTTAAGATCTTCTTTGATTTTGACAACATGAGCGGGGGGGGGGGGAAGCTTTAGAGTTAGTCCACTAGGTCAGCTGGTAGAGGATGAATGGAAAGATTTTGAAAAGGAATTCTTGATTTCAAGCCCCACTTAGAAAGTAGTTGCATGGTTCTAATACAGGGTATGATCATCTTGACACCAAGGAATAAATCTGGCTTGCTGCAGATTTCATTCACACAAAAAGCCCCTTGTTGAAGATAATGGTCCCTAGGACCTCTGCAGTATTTGGCCCAGATTGTGCAGTGTTTCAGTTAGGCAGCTGCCTGATTTGACAGGTTCCTTTGTGTACAAAGGACTGCACTTATGCCCTAAATACCAGCTCTGATGTCACTGTATTTGTCTGTTTTATAATGTTGGTTGATGGAGTTAGCTGAGAAAATTGTTGGACAAAGAATCCAGCAACCAACCCCTGGGTTTAAGATAAAAGGTCCTTCCTTCCTTCCTTCCTTCCTTCCTTCCTTCCTTCCTTCCTTCCTTCCTTCCTTCCTTCCTTCCCTCCCTCCCTCTCCCTCCCTCCCTCCCTCCCTCCCTCCCTCCCTCCCTCCCTCCCTCTTCCTTCCTTCCTTCCTTCCTTCCTTCCTTCCTTCCTTCCTTCTCTTCCCATCTCCTGTCCTCTCTCTCTCTCTCCCTTTCCCCCCCTCTTCCCCTTTCTCCCTCCCATCCTCTCTCCCCCTCCCACCCCTTCTCCCTCTCCCCCTCCCATCATGTCTACCCCATCGTCTCCTCTCTCTCTCCCTCTCTCCCTCTCTTCCTCTCTCAATGTTTTCAATGACTAGTCAATTTCTAACACTTCCTTGCATTGTTTATATATTCATACTATATAAATACAATTTAAACTGGGCTCCATCAAGAGAGAAAGGAGCATGTCTTTGCACCTCAAGAACCTAAAGGTATTTTTTTTAAAAAAGGTAAAAATTGGTTGGCATATGATTAAAAAAATATGGAATACCAGCCTGTCAGAGGCCCCATTTAGACCCATTTTTTTTTTAAAGCTAGGGGCGGGCTTAAGAAGCAAAATTAGTTTAGCAAATGTCTAAAGGATCTGTAATGCCGTGAAAATGCCTGAAATCTCTTATCCAAATGGGATAAAGTATGACCCTCAGTGTGTCACACAAAACATTTCAAACTGATAGATATTGTGCCTCTTTAGTTGAACTATATTTCTTACTTTTAGCACTGCATTAAAGTGTGTTTTAAGGTCATGCTTCAAGGAAAATAGTCCAATATTATTTTTCCATAGAGACTTTGGACAGTGAGGGTAGAAGCGTTATCCTAATTGAGTTGAGAATGGTTACTGTTTGCATTGTTAGTTTTGTCTCTGATTATAAGTGGTCTTGACTCTCAGGAAGCCTGCAGCATCCCAGACTCAGAGGGTGAGTTAATTGATTGATCAGTGAATTTATCAGCCTGGAGTTTACTTGATGGATTGTATCACTGTGCTATCCTGTCGCACAATGATTTATGCCTTGACAAGAACTCACTCAGATCTTTGTTCCTGGAATCAAGATTTGTACATGTTTGCCATAGATCTGAATGCAGCCTTTATCTCTGGGAAATTGGGTGAGAATTTCCAATTATTTCTTGTCTTTCTTGTTGAGAACAATTAATCAGTGGAACAGCCTGCCTCCAGAAGCAGTAAATGGTCCAACACTGGAAGTTTTTAAGAAGAGACTGGACAGCCATTTGTCCGAAATGGTGTAGGGTTTCCTGCCTGAGCAGGGGGTTGGACTAGATGACCTCCAAGATCCCTTCCAACTTTACTACTATTACTATTAAGTCCAAAACAAAAGTGCATTTAAAAAAAAAATGTTGCTGGTTTTTTCAGCCACATGCACAAATACTAATGTTTTGTGACAATAACCTTCTCAGTCAGCCAGGTCATGGTTGACCCAAAGGTCAAAAACCCTGGACTTCCTTTGTTTTTTTGCTTGAAGTCATTTCATTTCTCATCAATGAAGCTTCTTCAGTTCTGCTGAAGAAGAACTGGACTGAAGAACTGAAGAAGCTTCTTGGATGAGAAGCAAAACATCTTCAAGCAAAAACAAAGTCCAGTTCCCTGTGGAAAAAGCACCTTTGGAATAACCTTAAAAATGCATGGGGGTCCTTTAACACAAGGATCCCCAACCCCTGGTCCATGAACCAGTACCGGACCACAGATTGCCAGCAACCGGTCTGCACAAACAAGGAAAGCCCCATCCACAGGATGCAGGCAGCACACAAAACCACACACACCCTCCGTTTTAATTTGTGGTGATTTATTGATTGTTTTAGCTTTGTTGCACAACACCTCTGAATTGCATGTCTGGTGGAATGGGTAGCTATTTAATTTGGACGACTAAATACGTATAACAGAATAACAGAGTTGGAAGGGATCTTGGAGGTCTTCTAGTCCAACCCCCTGCTCGGGCAGGAAACCTTATACCATTTCAGACAAATGGTTGTCTGATCTCTTCTTAAAAACCTCCAGTGAAGGAGCACCCACAACTTCTAGCAAGTCCTTCCCAAGGTTAATTGTTCTAACTGTCAGGAAATTTCTTCTTATTTCTAGATTAGTTCTCTCCTTGATTAGGTTCCATCCGTTTCATCTTGTTCTGCCTTCAGGTGCTTTGGAGAATAGCTTGACCCCTATTCTCCAAAGCATCTCAAGTAAAAGATTTCCACCCCTCTCAGCATTTGTAACCATGACATTGGTTTGTTAAACTCTTTTAGGAAAACAAAAAAAAATCATGAAGTAAAAGGCTGGTTTTGAATATTTTTTGCTGCCCAATTTTTTAACGATGCAATTTTTGAAATGTATGTTTGAAAAGATTTGCAAAAAAACGGGTCAGTTTTCCTGCACTTATCTTTATTATAATGCTTCAGATATTGTACGAATGGCTTCCCTCTCAGCTAGTACCCTTTCTGACTCAACACAGATTTTGTATGGATGTTAATCACTGTGCTACCGCTGGTACCCCATACACAGTGATTCATCCTCATACAAATTTCTGGAGCAGATGCTGAATAACTGGGTAGAGAAGGAAACACCATTCCAAAAACATTTCTGCAGTTATTTTGAGCATGACCAAGGACTAGATCCAGATTAGAGTAGATGGTTTTGGATCCCATTGATATTTAGCCAAATGTAGGGATGTGTAACATCCTGCAACTTTCTCCTTCGATACCTAATCAATCGATACCACAATGAAAGCCTATTAAAGTTATAAAGATATAGACTCCTTTGAGACAAGCTGAAGTCCTATGTGCAGAATCAGGAGGGACCTTGGAGGTCTTTTAGTCCAACCCTCTGCTAAGGAAGGAGACCCTATACCAGGGGTTCTCAACCTTGGCAACTTTAAGACTTGTGGACTTCAACTCCCAGAATTCCTCAGCCAGCAAAGCTGGCTGAGGAATTCTGGGAATTGAAGTCCACAAGTCTTAAAGTTGCCAAGGTTGAGAACCCCTGCCCTATACTATCCCAGTCAAATGGTTGTCCAGTCTCTTCTTAAAAACCTCCAGTGATGGGTCACCACAGGTTCTGAAGGCAAGTAGTTCCACTGGTTAATTGTTCTCACTTTTAGGAAGTTTCTCCTTAATTCCAGGTTGATTCTCTCCTTCATTAGTTTCCATCCATTGTTTCTTGTCCTGGTGCTTTGGAAAGCAGGCAGCCCCTCAAATACTGGAATACTGCTATTATGTCATCCCTAATCCTTCTTTTCTCCAGGGTTTTTTTTGGGGGGGGGGGGAATTAGCTTAATAATAATAATGATAAAGTTGGAAGGGACCTTGGAGGTCATCTAGTCCAACCCCCTGCTCAGGCAGGAAACCCTATACCATTTCGGACAATGGCTGTCCAGTTTTTTCTTAAAATTTTTAGTGTTGGTGCATTCACTGCTTCTGGAGGCAGGTTGTTCCACTGGTTATGTTCTAACTGTCAGGAAGTTTCTCCTTAGTTCTAAGTTGCTTCTCTCCCTGATCAGTTTTCATCTGTTGCTTCTTGTCCTGCCTTCAGGCGTCTTGGATAACAGCTTGACTCCCTCTTCTTTGTGGCAGCCCCTGAGATATTGGAACACTGCTATCGTGCCCCCTTTGTCCTTCTCTTCGTTAAACTAGACATACCCAATTCCAGCAACCGTTCCTTACATCTTTTAGCCTCCAGTCTCCTAATCATCTTTGTTGCTCTTCTCTGTACTCTTTCTAGAGTCTCAACATCTTTTTTACATCTTGGTGACCAAAACTGGATGCAGTATTCCAGCTGTGGCCTTACCAAGGCATTGTAAAGTGGTATTAATACTTCACGTGATCTTGATTCTATTCCTCTGTTAATGCAGCCTAGCACTGTGTTGGCTTTTTGGGCAGCTGCAGCACACTGCTGGCTCATATTGAAATGATTGTCCACTAGGACTCTGAGATCCCTCTCACAGTTATTACTATTGAGCAAGATACCCCCTATCCTATACCTGTACAGTTGGTTTTTCTTGCCTAAATGTAGAAGCTTACTTTTTTCACCATTGAATTTCATTTTGTTAGATAACACCCAGTGTTCAAGTCTGTCCAGATCCTCCTGTATCCTAAGCCTGTCTTCTGGAGTGTTGGCTATTCCTGCCAGCTTGGTGTCGTCTGCAAATTTGATGAGTTCCCCGTCTATCCCCTCGTCCAGATTGTTGATGAAGATGTTGAAGAGCACTGGGCCCAGAACAGAACCCTGGGGCACCCCACTACACACTTCCCTCCATGTAGATGTGGTTCCATTGAGGACCACGCACTGAGTACGGCCGGTCAGCCAGCTACAGATCCATCTGGTGGTGACGCTGTCTAACCCGCATTTTTCTATCTTCTCAAGTAGTAGGTTGCGGTCTATTTTGTCAAATGCCTTACTGAAGTCCAAGTAAATTATATCCACAGCATCCCTCTGGTCCACTAATTTTTTCACTTGGTCAAAAACTCTAAATATATTTTCTTCTGCATTCTTTGTCTGTTCCTGGTATATATTCTCTGCCTTACTCTAGTTTGGAGGGAGCCTCTAAGGAGCAGGGCCTATTTAGTTGTGGCATTAACCTTTTTGTAATGATGCAATATGCCCATATACGTCTCTTTATGCATAACTGATACAGTACATTCTTTCTCTTTACAGATTTTAAGATGCTTTATCCAATGATGCCAGCCAAGAAATTAAAAGATGCTTGCTCCTGGGGAGGAAAGCTATGGCAAATCTAGACAGCATACTAAAAAGCAGAGACATCACCCTGCCAACAAAAGTGCGTATAATCCAGACCATCGTTTTCCCAGTTGCAATGTATGGCTGTGAAATTTCAACCATAAGAAAGGCTGAGCGCCAAAGAATTGAGGCCTTTGAACTATGGTGCTGGAGAAGACTCTTGTGAGTCCCCTGGACTGCAAGGCAATCAAACTAATCAGTCTTAGAGGAGATCAACCCTGCCTGCTCTTTAGAAGGCCAGATCCTGAAGTTGAAACTCAAATACTTTGGCCACCTAATGAGAAGGAAGGACTCACTGGAGAAGAGCCTAATGCTGGGAAAGATTGAGGGCAATAGAAGAACGGGACAACAGAGAATGAGATGGCTGGTGGAGTCACTGAAGCAGTAGGTGTGAACTTAAATGGACTCCAGAAGATGGTAGAGGACAGGAAGACCTGGAGGAACGTTGTCCATGGGGTCGCGATGGGTCGGACACAACTTCGCAATTAACAACAACAACAAATCCAATGATGCAATGTTGTGAAAGAAGAAAGGGACATGGACATATGGTGGAGATAGGAAGGAGTATATTTAGGCAGTCCTCAGCTTATGAACACAATTGAGCCCAAAATTTCTGTTGCTAAGTGCAAAAGCTGATAAGAGAATTTTGACCTTTTTGCCACAGTTGTTAAGTAAATCATTGCAGTTGTTAAGTTAGGAACCAGGTTGTTAAGTGAATCTGTCTTCCCTATTGACTTTGCTTCTAAGAAGGTGATCACAAAAGGTGACACTGCACTGTTATAAATACAAGTCAGTTGCCAAGTGTCTGAATTTTGATCACATGACCATGGGGCTGCTACAGTGGTCATAAGTGTGAAAAACAGTCGTAAGTCACTTTTTTCAGTGCCATTGTAACTTGGAATGGTCACTAAGTAAAAAGATTGTAAGTCGAGGACTACGTGTATCTGTCTTCCTGCCTTCTCTTGACTGGGTCTGGGATAGATTCTCATCCTTACTATCATTTGGAGGGACTCTCTAAGAAGTAGGAACCATTTAGTTGCGGCATGAACCTTTATGAAATGATTTAAAATGTGTGTCTGCCCCTGCTTATGCATGATTTATACAGTACATTCTTTCTCGTTACAGATTTTGAATGCCTTATCCAATCATACAACTTTCTGGAAAAAAAAAGAAGGGAGTTGAGCGTGCTGCGGACATAGGAAAGAGTATATAAATGGATTAAATAAACAAAGGGATGAACCAAGTAAGAGGATACATTTGATGGGTCTAGGTCAACAGGGGTAGGCAACCTTGGCTCTTTGATGACTCATGGACTTCAACTCCTAGAATTCCTGAGTCAGCTATGACTATGACTATGACTATGCTGACTCAGGAATTCTGGGAGTTGAAGTCCATGAGTCATCAAAGAGCCAAGGTTGCCTACCCCTGGTCTAAGACGACTCGCCGCAGCCAACTTGCCATGGCCAACTCAGCGTGGTCAACTCAACGCAGCCAACTCACTATGGCCAACTCGCTGCGGCCAATTTGTCATGGGACAACTTGGCATAGCTAATTCACCACAGGACAAGAGTTACTCTAATATCAAAGAAATGATGAAACAGAATCAGTAAAGAAAGGATGCAAAAGGAGAGATGAAATGAAATGTGAATAGCAAAAATTAAAATATTTTTAAAAATATTGTTGAATTGTCCTGTGGCAAGCTGTCCCATGGGGAGTTGGCAGTGTCAAGTTGGCCATGTCAAGTTGGCCATGTTGAATTGGCCATGTCAAGTTGTCCCATTCTGGCATTTGATAAGAATCTTTGGGCGTGGAGGAAAGCTGCTGCTAATTGTCTACGGCGATTCTCAGTCATCCAGATCATGGCTGCATTTTTTTCAGAAGGAAACTGGATTTTGTTGTTTTCTTTGAAGACGTTTCTAAGAACTTCTGACTGGATGGTGAGGAATGGAAAGATTTATATTCCTTGCAGACAGCTGGTCATTTGCATTCTTGCAGAGAGCCATTGAAGCCATTTGGAGGGTCACCCCAGGGTCACCTAAGTAGTGTAAATGGGTGTGGGGCCTTCTTGACTACAGGATGTTTTTTGCTCTGTGTCCTTTCATTGTTGGGCACAGGATGTTGGGGATGAGTCTGTGTTATCTGCATCTCAAACTGAGGCGCCAACAGTTCCTGTAGTCTGCAGTGTTTTTTGGAAATCCATTTCTCACCATCCAGTCAGAGCTAAAAGAAGCTTCTTGGGTGAGAAGAGAAATGTCTTCAAAGAAAAACAAAAAAGCCCAGTTACCTCCTGAAAAAAAAAATACAGTATCTTGGGACAGCTGCTAATAGATTCCATCTCTCTCTCCTTCTGGTCAGTCTTCCTGCAATTTCCTTTTGTAGACTTGTTCTTTTTGGTCGTCTTTTCTTTGTTATGATTAGCCTCTCCTTTAGTACTCTTTGGAAACAAATTTGAAAACTGTCTGAGGGAAGCAGGGTAGAAATATTTTGTAGTGAATGAGAACTCAATAGAGACAGAACTTTGCAGATGAGTGGTTAATGCCTGTGCGGTTTTGGTATGGATGCTCTGTAGCTTTCTCTCATAGTGCTCTGTGCCTGGCACAGAAGTATACCCCACTATCTGCAGCTGCTGGAGATCTCAACTCAAGATAGAATTCATTTTTGGAGGTGTCTCTGGTAATAACAATTCGATTGTTAAAATGTGAATTGTAGTAGGCTTCCCCTCTGTCGTTGGTGCTCTTAATTCCTCCCAGCCATTCAAGACGTTTTCCTGGACCTTTTCGGTTCCAGCCCCAGTACCAACCACCGACTTCAACTCCAGAAACAGTACAGTCCAGTTTGACCGATCGTCCAGATGTCTGTGTTTTAAAAAGGGGCTGGGACAGCTGCACATTGGGGAAGACACCTGGTAAAATAAAAGAAAGTTAGAAACAAACTTTTTGAGTTGACTCCTGGGATAAGAAACATTTAGGAAGTTCTCGAGAGATCTCCCTACAGATCTTTCAAGATCCTGAGCCATTGGGGAAGGCAGAAAAGGGTGGATCTGGACCAGCTGCAATTTTTTTTAACAGTCTCCAGTGCTCAACAATTCACAGTTCTAGGAGAAATTTCTCAATAGTGAGAGCAAACAACCAATGGAACAACTTGCCTTCAGAAGTTGTGGGTGCTCCATCAATGGAGGCTTTCAAAAAGAGGCTGGACAATCATTTAACTGGAATGGTATGGGATCTCCTGCTTGAGCAGGGGGTTGGTCTAGAAGACCTCCACAGTCCCTACCAACTCTATTATTCTATATCCTATGTGCTACTTTCTGCACCACCTCTGAATTGTGGGACATATTTTCCATCTTCAGAAATTGAGCGTCCAGCTAGACCTTTTAAATTAGAGTCTTCATGAATATAGCTTTGGCTGTGATTGCATTCCATCTGTGTTGCTAGTTGAACCCCCTGGACTCCCCCCTCACTCCAGTGGGGATTGAAAGAGAAGGTTTAGATCAAAATAATAAATATATAAGATAGTTTGTCTTTGCTTCCCTGTTTGAGTCAGTGCATCCATCCTGACCTGGAAAAATGCTCAGTAAGAAAAGGATCTCCACTAAGGTTTTCATCTTTGTTCTTCCTGCTCCATTCATCTCTCTCTCTCTCTCTCTCTCTCTCTCTCTCTCTCTCTCTCTCTCTCTCTCTCTCTCTCTCTCTCTCTCTCTCTCTCTCTCTCTCTCTCTCTCTCTCTCTCTCTCTCTCTCTCTCTCTCACACACACACACACACACACACAGAGTTTTTCCTTTTTGCAGAACTGATGGGCCACCCATGAAGGGTGTTCCTTAAAGGGAATTGCTTCATCTTGTTGATTTACATAAAGAACACGTTGTCCAACACACCATTTAAGGAGGAAAGGAAGTTAATAAGAATCTCTCAACTGCTTAGACTGCAACAATTTTATCCCGTGTATCTGCGTGTGTTTGTGTGCTTGCACGTGTGTATACAATGAAGGGGTAAAATGAACAAGCAAAAGGAGGGGGGAATGGTGTAGGAATACAGTACCTGGAAGATTAAATTAAATGTACAATCTCAATCATTCCTTTGTCCACTTCCAAAAAATAGTCATAGGTTACCTGTTTCAGCGCCATTGTAACTTAAAAAGGTCACTACATGTGTAGTAAAATGTTCTTTCTGTCTCAAGGCCTTTCCAACATTTATTACTGTTAGAGAAGCAACCTAGAACTAAGGAGAAACTTCCTGACAGTTAGAACAATTAACCAGTGGAACAACCTGCCTCCAGAAGTGGTGAATGCTCCCAAAACTGGAAGTTTTTAAGAAAAGACTGGACAGCTATTTGTCTGAAATGGTATAGAGTTTCCTGCCTGAGCAAGGGGTTGGACTAGATGACCTCCAAAGTCCCTTCTAACTTTATTATTATTATTATTATTATTATTATTATTATTATTATTATTATTATTATTATTATTATTATTATTATTATTATTGATCATCGCACAGTCAGCCAGATGTTCAGAATGGATTTGGCATTTTGTCTACCTATCGAGTCCTTACCCAGGACCTGGGATAGGAAGATGTGGATGTTTGATGGTATTACAGATATCATCGCAGGATGGAAGCAGTTCCTAATAAGGCCGCCTTTTGCAATTGACTAATAGCGAATTTGTCAATGCCAATTGTGTTCAAGTGGTGCTCCAGTTGTTTTGGGATTGCACCCAAGGAGCCTATGACTAGTGGTACTACCCTTGCTTGCTTTTGCCACAGTCTTTCTATTTCTATTTGTAGGTCTGTGTATTTTGTTATCTTCTCCAGTTCTTTCTCTTCTATTCTGCTATCTCCAGGCACTGCCACGTCCACTATCCAGACTTTTTTGTCTTTCTTATCGACAATTGTTAAGTCGGGGTTGTTATGTTGCAGGTGCTTGTCTGTTTGAATTCTGAAGTCCCAGAGCAGTTTAATTTTATCATTTTCTATGACTTTCTCTATTTTATGATCCCACCAGTTTTTGTTATTTGTTATTATTATTATTATTATTATTAAGATGTTTGCAATGAGAAAACAAAGACATATGTATATCTTATGCATAAAAAATAATGCTTCTTCTTCTCAATAGCTGGTTCCTAATTACTCATATATTTTATATTATATAACAAAGGTAGACATACAACAAATGTGTAGAAAAACATGGGGAGGAGAACTATATGCACTGCTTTCTACCACAGTGAATTTGTAGCTTCAGGGCAATGGTAAGACAAGAGGAGAACCAAGAGGTTTTATAAAGGTAATTCAAAATTGATCTATGGAGGAATTTCCCAACTGTAAGAACTATTAAGCAGTGTAAAGCCTGACTCCTGAAATTATGGGTATTTCATCACTGGAGATCTTCAAGCAAAAGTTAGATAGTCATGTATCTGTGATGGGTGTGAAGATTCCTGTACCGAACTAGAAGATTCTCCAAAGCACTGAAGCCAGGATGAAAAGCAATGGATGGAAACTAATTAAGGAGAGAACCAATCTAGAACTAAGGAGAAATTTCCTGATAGTTGGAACGATTAATCAGTGGAATGACTTGCCTCCACAAGTTGTGGGTGCTCCTACAGCGGAAGTTTTTAAGAAGAGATTGGACAACCATTTGTCTGAAATGATATAGGGTTTCCTATATCATGCAGGGGGGTGGGGAGTGGAATAGAAGATCTCCAAGATCCCTTCCAACTCTGTTATTCTGTTATTCTTTTCAACTGTAAGTTGGAGTCTGGATTCCAGTTCTATTCTGGAATCCCCATTCTTTGAAAGAAAGGTAGAATTCTGTTTTAAAGTGATCTTTAAGAAGCTATATCAGACCTTTATCTTTAACATGTGAAAATCTGAAGAGGACCATGTGGGATTGGGACAGTTGGAAGCAGAGTTATTGGACTTCCCAATTCCTCCACAGTTTGAGCTCCTGTATGTCCATCTGACATGTTCATTAGAAAACATCCCAATGTGTCCAATAGCTGTCAGCATGAAACAGATTCTCCAGACCTAACAGCTTGGTCCAAGTGATACTGTGTCCTATGACTCAGCAATAATAAGTACATACATACATACATACATACATACATACATACATACATACATACATATATGCCAACCAACCAACCAACCAACCACAGAGAGTCCAGTAAGTCCAAATTCCTGCTGTTTAGAAAAAAGGAGAACAACCAAGAAGAGAAGGCATCTAAGATGGAAGAAAGTAAAGCCTATGAGGAATATGGGTATGATTAATCTGGATGAGAGAAGACTATGGGAAGGTAAGATAGATTTCAGTTGGCCAACAGGACTTTTTTTCCCTATTGGTAAGATTTGCTTAACAATACAACAACTTGCTTTGAGAGATGGTGGCCTCTCTTCTCCTAGAGAGAAGACAAAAGCTGGACGGCCTTCTTTTGAGAAGGTTATAGCCAATTTCTGCACGGGTTAGGGAGTCATACTAGATCAGTGGTTCTCAACCTGTGGGTTGGGACCCCATTTGGGGTCGAACGACCATTTCACGGGGGTCGCCAAGCAACGCTATCCGCCATTTTTCCCCCCTTTTCCTTAGCTGTGCTACTCCCTTTTATACTATTGGCTTTTGAAAGCAAATAGAATAGACTCTCTTGAATAGAGTCTAATTCTATTGGCTTTCAAAAGCCAATAGGAATTGTCCAGGCTGTCTCTGCCCTGCTGAGCCCGCCAAAAGTCCCATTCGGCAAACGGTGCTGCACCAGTTGAGTAGTCCTCGACTTACGACCGGTTGAATAGTCCTCGACTTATGACCGGTTGGGGGGTCGCGGCATTAAAAAGGTTGAGAACCACTGTACTAGATGTTCTCCAAGATCCCTCACAGCGTATAATTCCACAGATTTATGAACCAATAGTATACATATATTTTTAACAATTTTTTAAAAATATTTCTTTTTATTAATATATTGCTGGCTTCTGTAAGATCATTATTCTAGAAATTAACATTTTAATGTGATAGGACTACACGGTTGTCTATCAACCTTTGGCACAATGGCTTAACCCAAGTTCTTGAAGCTGGATTATAAATTCACCTCTTTCCAAGGGGCATACTCTCCTAGGGATTCGCACAGTTTCTTTCTGGCCCTTTTCATAGTTTCTTCCTGCTCCCTTTGTCAAGGAACTGTCTTATAGGTGTGACCATCATAATTCATTTTGTGGTAACTCCTTTCTTCTCACGTCCATCTTTGATCTCCTCTCTCTGCTTCTCCCTCTGCTTCTGGCCTTGACACTTGAGCTGCTGCTTCTTGTGGTGCTTTCCGGACTATGTGACGGATTTCTCCTAGTGCTATCCTTGCTTCTTGTTCTGCTTCGTACCCTGAAACTTTGCCGAAAGCTTTCTATCTTGTGTTTTATTCTGGAAACCACCTTTCCATGGCTGTACTTCCAAACGCTCAACCCATGTCGCAGACGCAATTTTCTCTCCAAGATTCTGCCAAGGATGGACATTTTCTCATCAGGTTCCATGCGAACTAGGAAATGAGTGTGGCGAACTTTTTTCTCCGGCTTGCTGGGCTGAGCTCTTTCTGACATAGGCTTTCTTCTCTTTTGCGTTGTCCCAGACATTTTGGTGGTCTTGTGTTCTATGAGTGGTCTGATATCAGTAAAAGGTTCCTTTGTAGATAGGTCTTTCCCCCAGTCTGGGGTCTTTTCTTCTACCTTCTCAATGCTGGAGAGCTTTCCACCATCAAGTTCATCCCTGCCTAGTTCTGGGACAGTCTGTTCACCTTCTCTTCTGTACTCCTGGACTGCTCTCTGCTCAACAGCTAGTGAAGGTTGCACTGCTTCTTGGAAGACCATACCTTTGGTGGATGAAGAAAATTGTTCAGAGGGCCCTGAGGTATTGGCCGGTTCACTTCCTGATGTAGTCACATTCTGCAGGTCTGTATTGCTAGCAAAGACTCTTTCCTCCTGAAAGAGGGCTCCCTGGTACCCTGGTTCTGGAAGAGAAGCATTCCTCAAGGTTGCCCCTGAAGATAATTCAGAGATAGCATCTTCTGATGGAAGAGAAGAGAACCGTACGTCTGCCTTCTTTGCTAAAATAGATTGAAGGGATGACCTATCCTCTGTTAGCAGCGAAGAAGAATCTGTTTCTGTCTCCTTTACCGTACCCCAAGTCAAATCTGGTCTCTGCTTTCTAACTGATCGCAATGACAACATGGAGCCCTCTCTAGATGAAGGCAAATGGCATAGGCAAGGGCACTTGCCTATCCTACAAAATCTGTTGGGTACCCAACTAGAACCAGATACTTTTGACAGCTGAGACTGTTTCGACCCAACAGGATAGTATCTGTCATCTTCCTTTCTCTGGGAAGTGCTTTGAAGTTGTTTCAGAATGTCCTTCTTTAGGGACATGTTGGAAGAGCAAGGAAGAGCTTCTCTGTCTGTAGCTAACCAATCAGTTCTTTGACTTGGATATTTCTCCATAGATAAACTCTCTGATGAGCTACTGACGTTATATCTGCCTTTCTGATAGCCAGAAACTGGAGTAGAGAAAAATGGACCTCTAGGATCTTGTGTTCTACCAAGAAGGTCTGAAGCCCATATTTGTTCATCCTTTAGATATAAATCTGATTCTATTCTCTGCGGTGGCAACTTCTGTAGTTTGCTCACTTCAGGTGCCTCTCTCCTAGCCATTTTCCCTTGAACGGTTCTGGTGTGCTGGGTTTTTCTATCAAAACAAAATGATGGCTCTTGGGTATCCAGCCAAGAAGCTCGAATTCCCATTGGAGTTTGGTGGAGTTCATAAAATAGTTCTGAGTCGTACAGGTCAGGTGCCCCTGAGCTAGAGCTGGATCTCAACAGGTCTTCATCATATGTCGAGAACGGTTCCTTCATCTCCTCCCCCATTTGAGGAATAAATGCCACCAGTGTGTCTTGCACCAGTTTTGGAAGTTGCCATCTGTGCTTCGCAGTGAGATGTCTGATGTGTCTTTCCAGCTGCTTCTTTATGTCTGGCTGCAGAAAGCGTAGCTGCTGAGGAGCAACTTTGACTTCCCTCACTATCCATGATTTGTTGGCTGCAACACCCATTGCTGTTTTCATGGTCACATCTGCTGCCAATTGTGGCTCCTTCTGTGACTCTGAGGGAGCAAACAACCGCAGGGATTTCTGAATAAGGGCTGGCAAGCCCCATGCATGTTGAATTTTCTTGTGCAGAATGTGGAATTCCAGAAGATCCTGAGCCCCATCATCAAGAAAGTCCACCTTTCTGCTTCTGAAATAGGCTGTGGATGAAGACCTGGGTGTCCACAACTTTGCTTCTTTCTTTCTGAGCTGGGATTTCTTCATGGGACTTTTGTCTGTACCCCAGGTTTGGGGCAATGAGATCTGGGTAGATTTATAGACAGGAGACTGAGCTCGCGAACTGAGTGTGCCAGGATGCAGAAATGCTCTCAATGTTGCTTGAGCATGTTTTGGAAGCTCCCATCTATGTACTGCAATTAAATTCCTCAGATGAGCTTCTAAGTGTTGTTTTGTATTTGAGCTAAGGAATGACAGATTTGGGGCAATCATGTGAAACTCTCTGTCCCAAGAAAGCTTATGGGCTGTCATTGCACCTCGAATGGCTAAAGGATGCTTCGTGGAGTCATGGACATATGGAGCAAAAGCGTCTATGGATTTAAACACCATGAAGGGCAGTCCCCATGCATGTTGGAGTTTCTTGTGTTGGATATGAAATTCCAGGAGGTTCCAAGCTGGGTCCACAAAGAAAGGCAGCTTCACTTCTGAATAGGTTTTGATATTTCCATTTGCAGATGGCATCTCTTTTGTCTTACGGTATATTTTCCTGGGTTTGGAACCCTCGTGTGAGCCTTCTTTCGCCTCTTCCAACTCAGATGGCGAATGGGATCTCAAAGGCAGAAATGCCTGCAAGGGCTGTTGAACTCGTTCGAGAAGACCCCATTGGTGCTTTGTTGTTATGTGTCTCACATGAGTATCCAGGTGTTCCTCAACATCTGGGCTGAGAAACAAGGGACTCTGGACATCGATGGGCACATCTCTTTTATCCCACAGGGTTTTTTTGGTCCTTCTGTCTCTTGGGTCTTGCATGTCCTTCTGTTCTTCAAGAGGAAATGGGGCAAAGGCACGCAAGGATTTCAGGATCAAGGAAGGCAAGTTCCATGCTCGTTGAATTTTCTTCTGCTGAATATGGAATTCCAGGTAATTCCTGGCTTCCTCAGAGAGAAGAGGAAGCTTTCCCTCCATAGGTACTAAGAAACACCTTCCATAAGGACCCACATGAGTAGATTCCCTCTGCTTTCTTGGCTGGAAATCTTTACCCTTCCATATTTTCCTTCTCCTGTCTTTTTTAATTTCTTGCCACAACTCTTCTTCTTCTTCCATTTCAGAAACATCTGTAGACCCCAGGAGGGATTTGCACTTCCAGCAGAGTGATGGGTGTTCATGAATGCTTTCATATTGAGAAGGAGGTCTTGAAGGCACAAATGATCCCAGGAGCTTCTGAATGGCTTTTGGCGTGCCCCATCTATGCTCTGCCGTTCTCCTCTTCAAGTGAGCTTCCAGTATGTCTTTGGTCCTTTCGCTGAGGAAGGAGAGGTTTGGGACAATCACCTTCACTTCTTGCCTACTCCATCCATGTGTCTTGACTATGCGCTTCCTAGTGCTCTCGATGCGTTTTTTCCTTTCAGAGGAAAATGGGGCAAAAGCTTGCAAAGACTTCAAAACCGTGGAGGGCAAGCTCCATGCCCGCTGAATTTTCTTCTGCTGGATGTGGAATTCCAGATAATTCCTGGCCCCATCTGAAAGAAAAGAAAGACTTGGCTCTGAGAACAACAAGAATTGCCTGCTAGATCTCCCAGGTGATGTAGACCTTCTCTGGTTCCTTGGCTGGAAATATTGCTCTGTCCTTCTCTTCATTCTCCTACCTTTCTTTGACTCTTCCAGCAAATCTTCGTCTTCTTTTTCAGTTTCAGAAACATCTGTAGACCCCAGGAGGGATTTGCACTTCCAGCAGAGTGATGGTTGTTCATGAATGCTTTCATGTTGAGAAGGAGGTCTTGAAGGCACAAATGATCCCAGGAGCTTCTGAATGGCTTTTGGCATGCCCCATCTATGCTCTGCAGTTCTCCTCTTCAAGTGAGCTTCCAATATGTCTTTTGTCCTTTTGCTGAGGAAGGAGAGGTTTGGGACAATCACCTTCACTTCTTGCCTACTCCATCCATGTGTCTTGACTATGCGCTTCCTAGTGCTCTCAATGCGTCTTTTCCTTTCAGAGGAAAATGGGGCAAAAGCTTGCAAAGACTTCAAAACCGTGGAGGGCAAGCTCCATGCCCGCTGAATTTTCTTCTGCTGGATGTGGAATTCCAGATAGTTCCTGGCCTCATCTGAAAGAAAAGAAAGACTTGGCTCTGAGAACAACAAGAATTGCCTGCTAGGTCTCCCAGGAGATGTAGACCTTCTGTGGTTCCTTGGCTGGAAATATTGCTCTGTCCTTCTCCTTATTCTCCTATCTTTCTTTGACTCTTCCAGCAAATCTTCGTCTTCTTCTTCCATTTCAGAAACATCTGTAGACCCCAGGAGGGATTTGCACTTCCAGCAGAGTGATGGCTGTTCATGAATGCTTTCAGGTTGAGAAGGAGGTCTTGAAGGCACAAATGATCCCAGGAGCTTCTGAATGGCTTTTGGCATGCCCCATCTATGCTCTGCCATTCTCCTCTTCAAGTGAGCTTCCAGTATGTCTTTGATCTTTTCACTGAGGAAGGAGAGGTTTGGGACAATCACCTTCACTTCTTGCCTATTCCATCCATGTGTCTTGACTATGCGCTTCCTAGTGCTCTCGATGCGTTTTTTCCTTTCAGAGGAAAATGGGGCAAAAGCTTGCAAAGACTTCAAAACCATGGAGGGCAAGCTCCATGCCCGCTGAATTTTCTTCTGCTGGATGTGGAATTCCAGATAATTCCTGACCTCATCTGAAAGAAAAGAAAGACTTGGCTCTGAGAACAACAAGAATTGCCTGCTAGATCTCCCAGGTGATGTAGACCTTCTCTGGTTCCTTGGCTGGAAATATTCCTTTTTCCGTCTCTTCCTTCTCCTATCTTTCTCTGACTGTTCCAGCAAGTCTTCATCTTTCTCCTCCTTCTCAGTTTGGGAATCATCGGTAGTCTGAAGGAGCAATTTGCACTGGCGACACAATGGAGTTTGTTGATCAATGTCCTTGGGTTGGAAATGGGGTTGGGGAGTAGATAATGTCCCCAGTGTCTGCTGAATGCGTTTGGGAATAGACCATTTATGTTCTGCAATCCTCCTCTTCATATGAGCTTCCAGAACCTCTTTGGTCTCCATACTAAGGAAGAATGTGAAGGGGACAACCACCTTTACTTCTTTGATAGCCCACTGGTTAGCCCTGAGCCTCTTCTTTCCTGTACTTTGGATCTTAATCGGAAATGGGAAGAAAGCATTCAAGGATCGGAGCACCACCAAAGGCACACCCCAAGCATGCTGGATTTTCTTCTGCTGAATGTGGAATTCCAAAAGATGCCGGTTGTCCTCTGTAAGGAACAGCAGCTTTGCCAAAGCTAAGCTTTGCCTTTGATGGCTTATAGTGTTGGGTATTTTTGAGGCTCCCTTCGTAGAGGCGACTTGCCGTTGTGATGTCTTTCTCTCATGGTGGGAAAAGATTTTATGTGGTTGGGTGGGTCTGCTATGCTGCCTGCGAGGCTGGTGCATTCCAGATTGGGATTCAGGTTGAGGAGGAACAATAGCCCTCAGTGAACTCCGAATTCGTTTGGGGAGCTCCCATTTGTGCTTCATGGTCCAATTCTTCAAGTGGGCTTCCAGGCTATCCTTGATCTCTGTACTCACAAAATGTAGATCCAAATGAGGGATTGTTGCCTCTACCATAGCAAGTGACCTATGAGTTGCTCCTTTCCTTCGGCTCTTGATAGAGATGCGCCCTCCTGATGTTGCAGTTGTGCTGTGCAGCTCTGGTGGATGGTGAGCAAAAGCATTGAGGGATTTCTTGACCATAGAGGGCAGTCCCCAATCATGTTGGATCTTTTTGCGTCTGATATGGAATTCTAGAGCATCCCAAGCTTCCTTTGTATAGAATGTTGCAGCCCAGCTCTCTTGGTGAAATTTAGGAGAAATGTTTCCACTTAAAGTTGGAATTTGGTTCATTATGTGTGGAGAGGGAGATTTGGGACGTCTTCCTGCTATCATTGGTAGTTGCCTGCCACCATATTCCTCTATCTGGCTCCTCCATTTTGGGGCTTTTCTAATTGTAGGCCGATGCCGAGCTCTAGCTTCTGAAAGCTCCTTAATTCTAGCTGGATAAACTTGATCATGGGTAACCAATGGGATTCGCTCTGTAAGATCTTCAGGTTGGCGAAAATATGTAGGGGGCAATAAAGTCTTCATTGATTCCTGTACTTGCTTGGGAAGACCCCATCGGTGTCTTGTGATTTGTCTTTTTGTATGCGCTTCCAAGTGTTCCTTTGTGACTGGATCCAGGAACAGCAGCTTGGGAGTTGTTGTGACTCTCACTTCACTTTGCAGACTTGAAGGGGCAGCAATGGCCAATCTGGCTGAAGCTTTTTGTGGATCTGGAGGCAAAGGAGCAAAAGCACGAAGGGACCTTTGAAGGACAGAGGGCAGCCCCCATTCATGCTGGAACTTTTTATGTTGGATGTGCCTTTCCAAAAGATCTGCACTTTCATCTGTGAGAAAGGCGGCCTTCTTTGGTTGACCATCTACAAAACTAGCCTGTGGCAATCTAGTGATACGTTGTGCTTTTTTGAACTTAGGTCCACTGACCAGAAAGTTTCTGAACTCCCTTAATTCTTCATGATCTCCTGGAGGGGTGGGACAAAAGCCACGCAGAAATTTATGTAATCTTTTTGGCAGCCCCCATTGGCTGTGAATGACCATCTTTTTAATGCTAGATGCTAAGTTCTGTTGAACAAACTTAGAAACAAATGGCAGATCCTGCACTGAAATTCTAATTTCCTGCCTTATTCTCTGTGGTGGATGGGGGACAATGGATAAATAGGTTGTAAAGGCTTGTAAAGAGCTTTGGATGATGAATGGCAAACCCCAAAGATGATGAAGTCTCTTTATCTGGATGTGATACTCCAACATTTCTCTTGCCTCTTTCTGAACAAAAGGGGCCTTCGGCTGTAGGAATGCAATGCTTGCCTTTTGGGTTCGTGCTGGGAAAGGTCTAACTGGGACCACTATAGTTAAGGATTCCATATATTTTTTGCTAACCCCCCACAAGAACGTCAAATGTTTATGTCTTAAATTCTGTTCCAACATATTTATATTACTTGGCGGCAGAAAAAGTAAGGACAATGGTCTGTTGGTGGGGGATTTCTTCCCAGCCTCAATCAACTTGGGAAGGTGCTTTGGTGAAATAGTACTGGATTCTTTGGAGGACTGTCTCACCAGTCTAGGGAGTGTCTCCAGCTGTACCTGAATGTATTTTCTTCTGATGTGTTCCTTGAGGAGATCCAATTTCTTTGGAGTCGAATGCGTGGACTCAACCGATTTGCAACAAGCCCTTTGATTTTCTCCAGCACCGAACCTTGCTTCTGTTAATTTAGTTTTCTTGTCACTTTGGGGGAGCTGAGCTTTTCCCAAAGGAGCAGAAGGGCGGAAATATTTCAGTGACTCAAGGATTCTCTTTGGTAAGCCCCAAAGCCGTTGTAGTTTCAGTTTTTGTACATGAAACTCTAAGTAGTTGCAAGTTGGCCAAGGGAGAAATGAAAGCTTTTGGGGCAAAGCATGGACATTGATTGTGGTCCTGTGGGTGGTGGAACTTGGGGGGAAACCTTGCATGAAGACCTTGAGAGAGCTCTGGATGAGTGCTGGGAAACCCCATTCATGATGCAACCTTTTTTTCCTGATATGCAGTTCAAAAATCTCTTGTTCTTGTGGTTGGAGAAATGGTATCTGCGTCTCTGAGAACATCACAATAGGAACACTCTTTCTCTGGAGGGGTGAGGCATATGATCTAGGAATCATTGCATCAACAGCTTCCACATATCTTTTGGCCAGACCCCAGAGGGAACTAAAATAGTGAAGCTGTACTGCCATCTCCAACCTTTTTGCTTCCTGCTTTTGCATAAAGGGTAGGAAGCTCCGTCGGGGCTGCAAAATCTTAGGACCATGGGAGATTAATTTGGGGAGTGGTTGCCTTGTTGCCAACACATTATGTTTCCAAGAATCCATAACAATGTCTGGGAAAACCTCCAACTGTATCTCCACGTATTTCTTAGACAGGTGAAGGCAAATCTTCTCCAGATAGTTGGATCCTTTTAAGGGAAGTTTGTGAGGAACATGTGGAGGAATCGCCACCATCCTCTGTTTGCAGCACATGGTGCATAGAACAGTCTTAGTTTGGAATAGAGGGAAGGTCTTATAGGTGGATATTGTTCTTCTTGTCTGGTACACCAGTGTTTTTGGCCTTGGAGCATGAATGTTTACTGCTGGCTGTAGCTTCTTCAGAGATGCAAGAACCCTTTGTGGCAACCCCCACTGGCGATATAATTTTGTCTTCTGCACATGAAGTTCAAGGTTTTTGCAGATATCCTGGGAAAGGAACGATAGCTCCTGAACCAGGGTATGGACACTGATTTTTGTCTTTGTTAAAGATGAGGATGAAGGTGGCTGATAGATGAAGCTCTTGATTGATTTTTGGATAAGGACCGGAAAACCCCATTCATGTTGGATTCTCTTCCTTTTAACGTGCAGCTCTAAAGTTTCCATGCTGAATCCTGGAGGAAGCACCCACTGAATTTTAGTGAATAAGAAGGCAGTCCTTTTCTGACCTCTTAGGGGCTGGGACAAAGGTTTGGGCATCAATTGTTCAAGTGCCTTGACATAATGAGTGGTCAGCTCCCACAAGGAAGCAAAATGATTACGTTGCACAGTCATTTCTATCCTATCAATGGCTTTCCTGCATGCAAAGGGCAACAAGGTTCTGCGGGGAAGCATTGGCTGGTGACTCAAAATGATCTTAGGGAGAGGGATTCTCAAAGAGAAAAGCATGTGCCTCCAGGAAGTTCTAACAGTTACCGGAAGAGCGTCCAAATAAATTTCCAAATGTTTCTTAGCCAAATGGAGCTGCAGTTTGAGATGAACCTCAACCTGGCTTCGGGCATGAATCCGTGGAGGTGCAGCAATCTCAATTTTGGAGAGTCTGCTACCTTGCTCTTTGTTAATTCCACCCACTTGCCAAGGAATGATGGGTTTTAGATAACTATAACTTGAGTAGAACAGCTTCATAGATTCCAAAATTCTTTTAGGTAGCAACCATCGCTGGTACACTACCCGTTTCTGCATGTTTCTTTCCAGTTCTCGCTTGATGGCATTACTAAGAAAGGAGACCTCTGATGGTAAAATAATCACCTCTCTGTGCAATTTCTTCTGGGGATGAGCAGAAGGGGTAGCTGGAAGAAGATACTGGACAGATCTCCAAATAAGACCTGGGAGACCCCAAATATGATGAAGAGTCTTCTTTCTCACATGCCATTCCAGTGCTTCTCGGACTTTGGGGCCAACAAATGGAGTGTCCTTTTCAGTGAAACTAAATCCAGCAGATTTTCTGGGTTGGTAGTGAATGAAAGCTGATGGGCTGATATTCTGAATCATCAGGATAAGTGACTTACTAATTAATGTGGGCATTTTCCACTTGTAGGCCAGGTCTTTGTGTATAATGTTTAATTTGATATGACTAAGAACTTCTTGGTCCACAAACAGAAGCTGCTGTGATCTTGGTTTCGGAGAACATGTTTGAGGTGGAATGATTTGAGGAAGCTTAACCCTTTGGTGCCGAGCTGTGGGAACAATAGGACTCAGATGTCTCTCAAGGACTCTCTTGGCCAAGTTTCTCTGCAGTACTTGACCCTTTGAACGTTGAACTGATCGATGCTTTTCTGGTTTCGTACTGTAACTGACCATTGCTGTGGAAGGTATCCCCTTCTTAAATTCCCTTCCAAAGGACTTCCCATCTACTTTGGGACTCCTGATCAGCATGGAACCAGGTGGAACAAACATCTGCAGGGATTCAAATACTCGTTTGGGTAAGCCCCACTGCCTCTCTATGATTTTGCTCCTGAGGTGGGTCTCTAATTTCTGTTTTACCTCAGACGTGGTAAAAAGGAGTTGGCTAAAGCCAGTGAATATTTGAACTTCATACTGATCATAGGATTTGGTCTTAAGATGAGCCTGTGATGGTGGAGCTGGTAGAAGGAACTCTCTCAGGGACCTGAACACCAGGCGAGGCAATCCCCACTGGTGCTGAAGTCTCTTTTTCAGAACATGGGTCTCCAAGTTCGTTCCATCACTGGAGATCATCAAGGCAGGTGTTGTAAAACCAAATTCAATCAAGGAGTGTGCTATAGTGAAGGAAATTGGTTGAGAAGGAGGACTAGGGACAAACTTGCTCAGGGATTTCATATAAAGTGTTGGAAGCCCCCATAGGAAGTAGATGCATTTACTCTTAACATTCATCTCCACAGTATCTGCTTTCTTTCGAAGACTTAATCCCAGCTTGTTCCTCAGTTGAGGATGAATCTGACCAAGTGGAATAAGTTTAGGCAGAAGCCAATTTCTCGCCTTTGTGGTACTTATTTTCTGAGAAAGCCTCACGATTGAATGAAAAGTCTCCAACCTCATCTCTAGGGACTTCTTCGTAATGTGCACTTGTAGTTTTTCTTGGAGAGCTGGCGTGATTTTGGAGTCCAAGACCGCCACTGTGGCTGATTGCTTTGTGATAGGTTTTCCTATCCTCCTTGCACTTTTAATTTGACCTATGTCCTTGTGCTTATGTCGCCAGCCTGCTGAAGAAAACTTCTCTGTCCTTGATTGAGAGTAAGATTTAATGTGCTTGAGGGCATCTTGTACCTTCTGGGGTAGCTGCCAACGTTTTTGCTGAACCATTTTCTTTAAGTGTCTCTCTAGCTCTTTCCTGATACCTGTGGCCATAAAGGAAAGGATCTGAGGCCTTGTAACCACCATAACTTTCTTCTTGTGCTTCTGAGTAGGGGAGTCTGGAGCAGAAGGCATGAACTTTTTGAAGGACCTCAAGAGGGCTAATGGCAATCCTATGAGATGGTGCATTCTTTTTGTCATCATGTGAGATTCCAAGCTTGCCAGCATGGTTTTATCCATAAAAGAAATGGGCATGCCACTGAATCCAGCTGAGCCTGTCTTGCTGGTCTTAGCCGGCTCTGGTATGGATTGGGTCTTTCTACTAGATCTTTTCTTGAGTTCAATCCCTGTGATAGCCTTTCCTGAGGAAATCTGGGGTGAGTCTTTGTAGATTTTGTGATGTACTTTGGAATAGTACTTCTTGACCTGCTTAGTTGATGTGTGCACCTTCAAGCTGGTAGATGAGATCTCAGAAAAGCTGAAAGAGGAATTTGAGCAATGGCTAGAAGCGCTAGGTGTGAATGACATTGACCTGAAGGAGTCTTCCTTCAGAATATCCTCATTGACAGAAAGCTTGCTGCCTTCTTTCCAGTCATAGGGAACTCCATGGTGTGGAGTGGAAGATGCTTTACCTTCGTCATCCATTGGCAACAACTGTGAGCTTGATAAAGCAGGTGTCTTTTGGTCAGGAAGAGTATGTTTAAATAATGGTGTAGGTTCACTGGCACTCCGCGGAACTGAATCAGGGCCTTTAACGAGAGAGCCACAAGGTGGGACAGAATATTTCTTGCAAGACACAGGAGGCTCCGGGCTCCTTGAGTCTTTCAGTCTATCCTGCTTTGTCCCCCAGGTGTAGATAAATGCCTGGGCTTCCTGAGCAGCACGCCCACACACCATACAGTCTGCATCATCACACAACAGTTGACGGACAGAACTTCCATAAGTGTCTGGATGAATGCCATCTTGGGTTTGGGCAAATACTTGCTGCTTGATATCTGCAAGGAGAAAGAAGACCTGATAAACCAGAATTGGCTCTCATATCATTAAAACACGTTATCATTTGCTGTTTCTTAGCTGATTCTTCATAAATATATTACTAGCTAGGGAGACCTGCATGCATTGTAGGTTTTCCCAGGAAACCAAACATCCATAGTCACCCAGAGTTGCTTGATAAAGAAAAAAAAGTAAAAACAAAAAGCAACAAAGATGATTAGAGGACTGCCGGCTAAAACGTACAAAGAACGATTGCAGGAATTGGGTATGTCTTGTTTAATGAAAAAAAGGACTAGGGGTGACAAAATAGCAGTCTTCCAATGTCTAAGAAGAGGGAAATCAACCTTTTCTCCAAAGCACCTGAAGGCAGGACAAGAAGCAACGGATGGAAACTAACCAAGGAGAGAAGCAACCTGGAACTAAGGAGAAATTTCCTAACGGTGAGAACAATTAATCAGTGGAATGGCTTGCCTCCAGGTGTTGTGGGTGCTCCATCACTAGAAATTTTTAAGAAGAGACTGGACAGCCATTTGTCTGAATTCCTGCTCAAGCAAGAAACATCATCAGAGTAGTGATAATGTAACCTGTTGGGTAATGAAATATCTTCAAGAAAACAAACAAGCTCAGAGAGCAACACTGATTCTCCATTTGTTGTTTGTTTATTTTTTCAGTTTGTATAGCTGCTCATCTCATGGATGGCCCCTACAGCTAAGCAATCAATGAATAAAGGACCAATGAATAAAGTGCAAAGGTCAATAACAATGATAAACAAATAGCCCCTTTAAAACCTAATTAAAACCAAAAACTCAGGCGTCTACCAACATAGTCATCTAGCAGGTTTCAAACTCTTGCCCAGATCCCCAGTCACATTGATAGAGATAAGTCTTTAGAACTTTTCACAAGGCAGTTGGACGTCTGAGGAGATGATATTCCAAAGGATTGATGCTGCAGCAGCAAAAGCTTTCCTTCTAGTGATAGCAATAGTATTTAGACTTATATACTGCCCCATAATGCTTTACAGCACTCTTTGGGTGATTTACAATGTCAGCATATTGCCCCCAGCAATCTGGATCCTGATTTTACTGACATTGGAAGAATGGAAGTCTGCGTTAACTTTAAGCCCCATCAGGATTAAACTCAAACTAGACTCAGAACCTCTTCCACTCAACCCTTAAGAGCTGTAATCTCTGAAAAAGAGATATTAAAGGCCAAATAGAGAAAGAAGGATCTGCTCAAAGAATTCAGGTCTGATGAAGACTTCCTTAGGTGGAGCCTAAGACTGCTGTTTTTAGAGAAGAACCTGGTTCCACCTAAATTGTTGGATTGTGAAAAGTTTCCATGGATGTTTACCTTAGAATTCTTAAGTGCCAAGATGTTTTTATTTGGATCTGACTTGGTTTATCTTTGGGTTCTCTCTGTCTTGTTTTCCTTTGCCTGGTGACTCTGCTTATGTACATATGACTTCGACAATACTGATATAAACTACATGGATTTATTGCAATCTTAATCCACTTATGGAAGAATCTCTATGGAGATTCTCAGTCATCCATGGTGATCCCAAAGGTGCTTTTTCCAAAAGCAACTGGACTTTCTTTGTTTTTCCTTGAAGACATTTTGCTTCTCATCCAAGAAGCTTCTCCAGCTGTGATTGAATTCTCCACCATTCAGTGAGAACCGAAGAAGCTTCTTGGATGAGAAAATCCTGTTGCCTTTGGAAGAAGCACCTTTGGGACACTGTGCATTAGGCTGGCTAAGACAAATGCTTTCTGACCACATTGCTCACTTTGACTACTAATGTAGCTCATAGGATTAGAAGAGGCCTCTCCTGTTGCAGTGCTTTTGCAATGGAAATGCTGGAAACCGAATGGGGCATCTTTTGCATAAAGGTAGATATTGTATAAGAGCTGTGGTGGCGCAGTGGTTAGAATGCAGTATTGCAGGCTAACTCTGCCCACTTCCAGAAGTTCGATCCTGACCAGCTCAAGGCTGACTCAGCCTTTCATCCTTCTGAGGTCAGTAAAATCAGGACACCAATTGTTGGCTGACTTTGTAAACTGCTTAGAGAGGGCTATAAAACGCTGTGAAGCAGTGTATAAGTCTAAGTGCTATTGATATTGTAACATTGAGTATGGAGTGGAGGGATTGCTACCTTTTTTCCTTTGTGTATTCTTCTGCTGCCTCTCTGCTGTTCTTTGGTGCATCAGCTATGGAGGGCAAAGAAGACAGAGATGTGAAGTTGTCAAGAAAATAATGAATGACATAAAAGTAATGAGGTACAAGCTGAGATGACCTTCTGGTATACATGGTGACATTGTGATACAAGTCTTATACTGATGTGCTTATGTTCTGTTACCTGATGCATGTATTTGCTCCATAATATCATGATGGCCATTTGGTCCCTCTTCTCCACCTTACCATCCTGCAGCTCCTGATGCACCATCCAAGGACAATCTAAAGCATATGAACTGGACAAATGAGCCGAGGTGGCGTAGCAGTTAGAGTGCAGTACTGCAGGCCACTTTAGCTGACTGTGTTCAGCAGGTCAGCGGTTCAAATCTCACCGGCTCAAGGTTGACTCAGC